GATCTCGTTAAATCTCCTTGTTTCGTCGGCGCTGAATCCTATTTTTTTCCCCGTTTCTCTCTCGCGAAATCGTCCTCCGATCGATCCTCCGGTGTCGCGAGACCGGCGTCATTAATGCTATTATGTAATAAAGACCGCCGGATTGTCGTGTCCAAGAGAATTGTCATTTATATTCCACACAGCTGCGCGCGAGAAAACGCGATTATCCGGCGATTATCTCGCTCGATACAAGCGACTCCTGTTACACGTTCCTGTGCGATGTTAATGATTATTAGTCAGAGAAATTATTTCGCGTATATCGCAAATGTTGCCTTACCCGCAAATATTAATCATCGGTCTGGCCAGAGGATGACCTTTGCGTGGCGCATAGTGTCGGAACATTAAAATCTCTCTGGGGAAAACCTTAATCGTCGGACGTTGTGTCTTATCGCGCCGATACGAGAGGGCCGACCGAACCATTGACCGCCTTAATATGTATATTAATTTCCACCCACATAAATAACAACCGGATATTAGTGTTTCTCTCTTAGCAGCGCCCGCTGCGCGATAATCCGATATTAAATTAAATGTAACAGCCCTTCTCTGTAAACTACAAGTAATATCTCATATTTATTGGCAGCACGAAATATCGTCTACATTCCCTAAAGACTCCCGGCAAATCCAATTCCGATAATCGAAGACTCGAAGGACAGAAGGAAATCTGTTACCGATTCCTCGACCCCGTGGAAAAATCACTCGATATCCTTAAAGATGCTGTCGAGTATCCCGTTTCGAGTACGGACATGCCCGAGTTTCTTTTCATGCGTCCAGTTTAAGTGCTTCTACTCGACGTGTAACATGAAACTGCGTTTCGCTTCGAATTTAGCGATGGGAACGCCCACGGCGGGTTTGCACTCGACGGAATCAGTCAGGAAGAAATGACAAAAAAAAAAAGGAGAGAAACGAGAGCGATCGAGATCCTCGCTGTGAAATCACGAATGCAGCCTGGCGGATAAGAAACGCGTACGTAACTCTTCGGTCAATTCCAGAAAATCATTTTCGTCCTAGCGAATTATATCTCGATGAGCAAACACGATCACGACACAGATCAATTTTTCAAAGAAGATAAAATAAATTTAAACAATATATTAATATAAGCCGAGTACGTTAAATAGAGAGGAAACATAGCCAATTCCTTGGAAGCAGGATTTTAGATGCTAAATTTTTATATGAAATAAATTCAAATAATCAAAGTATCGCCAACAATATGCCACTATTTTTTAGCAAACTTACAACGTAGCAGTTTTACGACAATTCGATAATTGAATAATTTTGATATTGATTAAAAATTCCTTTTTATCTCCTCTCCCCCTCCCCCCCTACAAAAATATGTATTGCGAAAAATATCACCTCAACCAGGGATCGAACTTGGAAAAATAAATTTAAGTATCGAGACGAACTAAGAAACTCATAGACATTTGTCGTAAGGCAATTGAAATATCATTATATTTGAAGATACTACTAAATTTAAATTTGAATAAATTAATGGCATCAACGGCACATTAATGTCGCTATAAAGCAAGCTGGTAAAATCTATCATCGACAGGCTATTAAATTATTTAGCTCGGATAGTGTGGAATTTGACCTAAGCCCTTTTAACCAAGCGTATCTAAACAATGCACCCATCCATGCAACGCGCTCGTCATCAATAAGTAAGCGAGTTACACGAATAAATCGATATCAGAGGACTAGAAAGATCAATATCATTTTAGCGCGGCTCAGCGATAGAGGGGTAAATGTCCTCTATCTGAACCTACGACATTTCCTGCCGTCGTTTCCAAGCCGCAGAACGCAATTGCTTGTTCCACTTCGGAGATAGCGGGAAAAGGAGGGGGGTGGGTGCATATAAGATTGATGCGACCGTAACCCCGGGAATTGAAAAATGTCAAGGATGGTCGTTATGATTTTCACGAGTTCCACGTTTCGTCTCGACTGCGAGAACGTGCCCCTCTTCGCAGATCGATTTCTTGAAATTACACACGTTCGGTAATTACGTGTTTCCCGATGGTATCGTCGGGTCGGAGAAGAAGAAACGGGGGAAAAAAAGATTCCCTCAAGGAATCCCTAACGAATTTACCAAAGGATTGCGACGCGACCAGCCTTACGGGCGTAATGTCCTTAAAGGATTAACTCCTCGTCGCCCGCTTTCGTACTTGACGTGTGTCCGGCGGTGCTTTTTCCCGTACAAAGGGAAAGGAATATTTTCGAGCTTCTAAGCTGGCTTTCGAGTTCCTTTTCAAGTATGAAAAGCAGATTTGTAGGATCCACCTCTTCGCGAAAACTTTCGAGATCTCCCCGAAGATCTCTCCTCGTACGAACTTCCACGCACGTCGTCGTTCCCGCATCAAAAACTTGTAACGCGAGTTTACTCCTTGCCAATACCCATACGTTACCCATGTTATTCCGTCCTGCTCTCGTGTAACTGTAAATCTCCCTGTAAATCCCCGTCTCTTGTTACACGAATCGCGTGATAATGAGGGAAAATAGTTTTTCCACTTCGACATTTCGTTGGTATTCGTGCGTCGTGTATGCGAGTTATTCGCACAATGCGCTCCGCACGAGCAACATCATCCCCCGCGAAAAACGAGCACTGAAGCTGATAAAGCGTTAAAAATAAACCGGATAAACGCGAGATGAATTTGCCAAATTCTCTCCCCCCCCACTCCCCTGCACAAACGGAATGCATATTTTTTCCCGCTGTCCATACGCCGACGATCATTTGTATTTACAGGTAAATACAACTCGCGATTTGCCGATTGTTGAGCGCGCGCCACGGATAATCAAACCAATTTCCATACTCGATTACACTTTGCCCGAGGTAATACAATGCCCCAATGTGTAAATAATAAATATTGACATTCCCCCTCGGTGCAATCTCGTGACTGTAAACTCGTAATCAATATCCGTCAGATTTCTTATTTACATAAGTTATGTGCGATCCTCGCGTTATTAATAATTGTTCGTTTAATTTATATTCTTCTCCCTTACCGATGGTAATACATGATTTTGACCTTAACAAGTACTCGGAAAACGACGTTCCCCTATGACCTACACCCTCGGTGAGAAAAGTTTTGATGGAATCGAGCTTGTTCTTCGAATTAATTGGAAGCCGGTTTTATTCCGAGTAAGATATTTGTTTAGTGCTCGACTAGCGTCCGTTCAAACTCAATCAAAATTGCGAGGTTTATCCTTAAAATTAGCGCGCGATCATCGGCCGATCTCGCCAATCGATTTGGAAATCGATTGTACGAAAATTTGTGCGAATCGCGCTTGAATTTCGCGACAAACTCAATTTCCTGTACTTTAACGTACGCATTATGCGTACTAAACACGAAATTCCCATCCGGTAGATTTAATAGCGGACTCGAAATCGCTCGCCAATTTTAGCGTGATCGACTGACAGATTGGCTCGGTATTGTCTGCTATTTACTACGTTTCTCTGCTACAATACAAGATATATTCAGTGGCAAGAGGACAAAAATATTCTATCTCTCGTTGCATACATTTTAGCATTAAAGCCAGTATTCATAGTCCGTTTTAAAACGGATGCTAATGCACAGATTTCAAGTGTCAGAAATCAATCATATCTCGCGGCATCTGAAGATGCATCTTGAAATAAGAACGGATTATGTGTTACCGACTCAAGTAAATTAATCCTAAATTAATCTGAACATTTGTATACGTGTTGCTTCGCTTCTTAGCTGCACACAAAAAACTCGAAACTCCATGATAATAGCTACATAATAATCACGAAGCTATCATGAAGAATTGAGCGTTACAACTTCATTACGCGCAAAACCAAGCAAAGGATTTCTCTCCTCTCGAAAGAGAAATCGGCAAAAATTTCATGCTAATAAGATCTCGTTTTCCTCAGCTCGCGATACATACTCTCCTCTCGTTCTTTCGAGAGAGGCGATAGATAATCTGTCAGGTGTCAGGAGAGAAAGAGCGTGGGAAAAAAGAAGCGGATATTCTCACCGGGGGAGAGAACCGCAGCGAGCGCGAGGGCTCGCGGACGCGAGCTGAGGGAAACGGGGTGTGTTGTACGCGAGGCAAGTCCCGGGGATGTGCACTCACGTGGTGGCTCTCCGACGTGGTGGCGCGTGGCGGCGGGTGGTAACCAATTCGGTCGCGACGAGGCCGGCCGGCCAGCCGGACGGACCGCCCGGCGGAACTGCTGCGACGCGCGACGCTGCTCTCGGATCGGAGTGACGACGACGACGCACCGCCGGCGAAGTTCGGCGTCGCGTCGCGTCACGCGCCGCAGCCTCGCGCCGTACATCGCGCGGGCTTTGACGGCGACTGCGCCGCCGCCTTGAAACTCCGATCTCTCTCTCTCTC